AGTGACAAGCGCCTCTCACTGCTCTGCTCCTCCAATTCTGCTGCTTTCAGTTACGTCATGCGCGTTGACGTGGAAACGCGTTGGCCTAGTGCTTTATTTCCCTCTCAGCTACTATAGTTTTTCAAGATGGCGGAACTACATGGAAGCCTCCGTGGACTTACCCGTCCCATGTATATAAAGATAATAAATTCTTTGTTTTGTTAAATTCTATTATAAGTCAGATAATTGGCAGAGGTATTAGTACACCATTGAGGACATATTTATGAATAAAAATATTGATTTTAAAAAAAAATACATAAAAAGTACACATTGTCCCTTTAAGAAGAACAACTGTTTTAAACATTGTTAATAATAAGAAATGTTTCCTGAGCAACACATGAGCATATTAGAATCATTTCTGAAGGATCATGTGACACTGAAGGGAGTAATGATGCTGCAAATTCAGCTTTGCCATCACAGAATTAAATTATATTTTAAACTATATTGAAATAGGAAATGATTGGTTTAATTTGTAATAACATTTGACATAACAGTTTTTAACACAGAAATTCAGAGCCATCTTTGAAAAATATTTAAAAAAATGTTTAATTAATTTGGATTTTTTTTTTATCAGTTTGAATGAATGATTCAATGACTCACTTATTAAAGACTTCACTTATTTCATTACTGGAGAAATTTGTGCTTAGTTTTAAGAAATATTTGTCACTGAATGATTTAATGACAAATATATTTTTAATCACTTGTTACCACAGTTCCGCTGTGATTGCACTTTAATAGACCTAGAAAAAGTTTAATAGACATTGCCGAATCGGTGTCATTCAGGAATAAGGCTAGCCTGGCTGCGCCCTCCTATGCACTTCCGCTCAATTTCATTTTCCTATGTAGAAATTAAATGTACTACAGTCTGGTTGAACCAAGCTAGAATAAGGCGACGTGGTTGTTTGAACCGAGATCGTCTTTTAATCATAATCACGCAGCTCTACAATGTAGTCAGTCCAGTTGAAAAACAAACCAGTTCCAGTCTAGTAAACAGGCCTAACCAAACATAAAGGTCAAAGTCCAAACTCTGGTCAAAAATACAGATAGCAATGCATTGAGGGGCTTACCTGCCAACCAAACTATTGAGTTATTTATAGATGTATTTCCCTATTATTGTGCTACTAAATGAGCAGTATAAGAATGTCTTCGCTTAAATGGCAGTGCGGAGCTGTGTCACACAGTGAAGGCTGCGGCCTCGTTAGCATGTGACCCCGGTTTGGGATGACAGAGAATTAATTGTTGCAACAAGGTCCCGCCAGATCGGAGTTAAATGTTAATCAGGGGGGCGAGAACACCGCCAAGTTGCGGCAAAATGCCACTGGGAGTTTTCAGCAGCATGTTAATAAAATAATGTGATTAAAAAAAAAAATCATACTGTGTGGGCTAAAAAGGATGAACAAATTCATTTTAAGCATAGCTATTTATTTATTTTGTCTTTTTTGGGGGGGTGGGGGCAGCAGTAAAAGACGGGTCAGTCATTAGAGATGCCATTAAATGCTAGAACGACAGCAGTTTTAATTCCAAAGATCACAAAAAGTTCATTTAGTAATCTGCTTCCTAACTGATTTAGTGCACACGATAACAGGAAGCATCATTTTATCTGTAAATGTCACAAATGGCTTTCTGACCACATTTTAATCATTTATACTTCATTTAGGCTACTTCATTCCCAGAAGAGTCTCTTTTTTTTGTGAACAATTTTTTATTTTTATTTTGTATTTGCTTTCATATTAACAAACAGAAGAGAAGAGAGCCCAGAAGAGTCTCTCGATGCAAAAATGTAATAAGTAATACTTCATCAGTCTTCTAGTCTCAGCTCACCAATATCTAAAAATTGTTTTTGTTAATTAATATGGATGCGGTTCAATAAATGAGAGTCTATGAAATGAGATCAGAGATTAATTACACTAGTCTGCCATCTACTGGAAAGATGCATAACCATTTAGTGGTTTATTTATATATATTTTTTTTCATTTTGATACCAATTTTGTGTAAAAATGTCATCACATGTGGCTGAAATAGTTAGGTAGGTATACAGCACATTTTTGCATATAAAAATGATACTGTGCACAGTATCAATCTCACTGAAGGCATATCCAGCATTCATGAATCAATCACATTTTAGCAACCACAACAATTATTTACTCAATATTGTCTCTGTAAATCAAATAGTCCATTACCATTTAATATTGTGTTGTAGGGCTTTTCTACAGTATAGCATCCACTTGCCTTTTTCGTTATAGTTATTATTTGTGCCTCATTTTTTGGATTTACAGATCTAGCAGGTGTTTTATGACTTTTAAAAACTATATTACCGGATGAATAAACTGTTTTTACTACACTCAAATGTGCCTCGGGTCGGCTTTATTATAGCTGCATTGCACTGTTGTTCATACTGCGGTACAATAAACCATTGAAATATTGGGGCAACATAAGGGGTATTAACCTTCAGGCAAACCTTTAATACAGCCTCAGTCATGACAAGAAGCCAATTCATTTGAGCCTAGAGGGAATGGATTTGGATCAGAGTCATGACAGAAAATATGTTGGGGGGGAAAAAAGTAGTTTTCAAGGTTAGCTTGACCTCTGAAGGGGAAAAAACCCACAGTGCTAGGCAATCTTATTAAAGCACTATCCAGTTTTTTGTTTTTTTACATCAGTCTCTGCAGCCAACCATATATTATAACACGCGCCTCTGATTACTGACCTAAGCGAAACTTCATTCTGACTCTGGAATTGTGTCAAATGCCTGCAATAAAGAGCAATGTCATGATTATACCTCACTCAAATGTCTTATGCAAGGAATGCTGAGACTGCACAATAACAACATTATGCAGAATACAATCATTTCCAGGGTTTTGCTGCCAAATGAACATCGCTACGCTATATAAGTCACAGCATGTTTTCATCTTATGAAATCAAAATATTGTTCACGGAGTCGCACGCTAAAATTCCATTACGTGCACTTACTGTCCTCTGTGTTATGGAACGATACATCTTCAAGTCAAGCACTTCAACAGACATTTTATGGACTATTACATTTGCATAAACAATGCAGCGGAGATTTAAAGTGTAACTTGATGCTGACAAAAGAACATAATCTACCTCTAGGGCATAGAAATGTCTATTGCCTATGAATAATGTAGTGAAATCAACTGCTTGGCGTACAAGAATTCTGCTCTGTTCCACGGTGAGAAACACTCTGACAGTAGACTAATGCAGGACCGAACATAACTATCCATTATGTAATTTAGAAATAAGTGTAATAGGGAAAAAACATGTCATCCCTGATGAAGATTAAACGGAAAATCAAATGAAATGGATTCAGCGCCTTTGGCTTTGACATGCTCATGAATAAACATACAAACAAACACTGATCAACATCACTATGATATAAACCAAGTTGACTATGTCAATACAAAACGTTTTAATAAGATACATCCACTTATGACTAGGTGACAAGGATATTAACTTAATATACAGTTTATTGTTCAATTAAATTTGGGAAACCTGTTTAATTGTTCATGGGTTTTACTTTTTAGCATTTAATATATAACTAAATTTGCTATTTTAGATTCTCCAGCTTCCATCATTATTTTCTGTTACCAGTCATCCACCAATTTGTCAGTTTTTGATCATCAATGAATTATGACATTAGTTTTCATTATTAATCGTCTTGCAGTTCAGATCACAGCTAAAAGAGTTTATTTCACAAAAGGACTTGGCCTAGATTACTGTAATTATATCTATCCATGCCTGTCTGAATCTCATCTCCAGATGGTTCAGAACACGCCAGTGAGATTTATATATCTCCTCTGTTAGAATCCAATTAGTTATAAAGAATGCCCGGTTTTTATCCACAATATATTTGTGAACTCCTTCATCCATACTTTATAAAAATTTGTATCGCACGCATTAAGCAATGAAAAAGTAATTGTGACCCTTTTTATCCCGCAGATATGACTTTTTTTCTCAGTATTGTGAGTTTATAACTCGCCCTTCTGACTTCATAACTCACAATTGTGAAAAACTTAGTTGTGAGATATAAAATCATTTATATAATAATATAATAATCATATAATTTTTTTAAAATATTTTATAACTAACAAGTATGAAAAACAATAAAAAAAGTAATTGAGACTTCTTTTGTTTATATCTCAAGAAAAAAAGTATAAATTCACAATTGTGAGAAAAGATTTGAGTTTATCTCTTGGGTGGGTTTATGTCTTGTTTATGTCTTGTGTGCGTCTATATATATATATATATATATATATATATATGCGAATTAGTCAGAATTAAACTCAATTGCGAATTATAAAGTCATAATTGCAATTCTGACTTTTTAACCTTGAAATTCTCACTTTTTTCTCCAAATTGCGAGACATAAACTTGGAATTGCAAGTTATAAAGTCAGAATTGTGCGGTATAAACTTATAATTGCAAGGGAAAAAGTAAGAATTGCGAGAAATAAACACAGTTGCAAAAAAAAAAAAAGAGTTATATATATATATATATATATATTTTAAATCAAACTTTTTTTCTTTTAAGTATATAACTCGCAATTCTGAGAAAATAAAAATAACAATTGCGAGTTTAAAAAGTCAGAATTAAACTCACAATTAAATTGCAAGAAAAAAACTTGTCTTTTTTTTTTAAATAACTCACAAATGACTTTATAACTTGCAATTGCAAGTTTATGTCTCACAATTCTGACCTTTTTTTATCTCACAATTGCAGGTTTATATCTCACAAATCTGATTTTCTTTCTCACACTTATGAGTTTATATATCAAAATTCTTTTTTCTTTGCAATTACAAGTGTATTTATTTTCTAATTCTGAATTTTAACCTCACAAATCATTTCTTCTCAGAATTGAGACAAACCTTGCAGTTGTGAGAAAAAAAGTCAGAATTGCAAGAAATAAACTTGCAAAAAAAAGTGAAATAAAAAAGTCACTATTACCTTTATTTATTTTGTATTCTGTGGTTAAAACAAGCTTCCATAATACTCTGCCCCCAGGTCATGCAATCAGCTTCCTTCTGTCGCACTCATGCTGTAAAGGAGATTTCTCAGTTCTGGAACGGCTTCCCTGCTCACATCACATCATCCTCCTCCACTGGCACTTTTAAATCCAGCTTAAACGTCCCCTTTTATTCTTTAGCTTTTGATTCCATGCAACATTTTTTTTTCTTTCTATTATCTAAATGTTATCTGACGACATGAAAATCTCTCTTTATGCGACAGGCTGATTTTTATATCCTTAAAATGTAATGATACATGAAAATGTACATTAAAATATTTGGTGATAGAGTGTATACAAACATTTCCTAAAAAAAAAAAAGTTATTACTGGTTTAAATCACTGACAGGTTTGTAGCTGCCCTGCTCATTCTTAAGTCAAATATACTTCAACGGCCAATGAGAAATGGCATGAGAAGGCTTCAATAATCTCTCCCAAAGTGCTTATTCACTTTGGCGACAGAAATGTAAATCATTAGATTAACCAAAAAATACTGTTGCTTATACTCCATCTGCTTCAGCCCCATCTCCACCCTCCCCTCTGAGTCTTGATATACGATGGAGAATCTCTCGCCATCATAATCGTACGATACCGTGTCCTGATTTGCTTTAGTCATGACAACAGGTGCACTCACACACCAAAAAGGCTGCCTGGCTTCATCCCATAGAGTGAGGTTGATCATGCAACAGTCCTGAAGACACCAATTAGACCATGAAAATCCTTACATAAGTTTTGAAATAAAAAAAAAAAAAATAATGATAAAGTGTGGTGATAATGTACCTTGATAGTTCCATGTAAAGCTTCAGTCCTCCAAGGCAAGCTGACATCTTCAACTAGATGAGTATTTAGGGATCCGTTATTCTCACTGATCACTTCCAGTGGTAGATAACCATCAGAAATCTGATCTGGAGAGTAAAACAGAGGTATTATGCACTATGGTACTTTGTTACCAAAGATAAAATTTGCAGTGTCCCCCAAAAATAAATACGGACAGATTTACAAAATCGGGCAAATTAGTTTGAGACAACTGAGCTGCTTAATATTATTGATATTATTAATATCATTTTTGATGTTTTCAAAGAATCCTGAGTATTTCAACTTTCTGAAGACCTTTTAGGATGGACATACTGTATATCAATTAATGATACATTAGGAATATATGTGACATACACTGTAAGATTTTTTTTTTAATCAAATATTTGTAAAGAATAGTATTTGAGCATCAATACATGTTGAAAAACTGATACTTCAGGAGGGTAAAAACAATTTTCAATTGTTGAATTTTGCTAAAAGCAGGATAACATCGAAATCTGTGAGATTCTAGTGCCATCTACTGTCAAGCATATGATGCCATCAACTGTTAAGTCTTCTCAGTGTAGAATATGCCAACAGTGCAATCATGAGTTTATAAGGAGGTTATCATTCATTTTTATCATCAATTTGATTTTGATCTCTTTTTTTCTAATTATACATTGCACAATTTACCTCTCCTGCAAAACAGCTGGGAAAAGCGGTCAGACATGACGACTCTCGCTGTATTGTGCAGTTCAATGTAAGCAGTGTATCCATGGAGACCATACTCTGGGTCCACATCATCAAACAAAGCACTGACTCCGGTTGCTGCACATGGGCTAGCGGTATGAAAGAGAGATAAGGAAGGAAAAGAAAGACATTAACTGCAAAGTGGGTGTGAGTGCATCTTTTCACACTAAGGACTGTAGCGACAGAATGGCAATAATAGAGGTATAAGAACTGATGAGTCAGGCCTGTACACAGTACCGAGATTCACCAGAAGATGGAGTTCTTACACCACCAAACTATACTGATGGTGATACATTACTGACATTTAGGTTCTGACTTCCACAAACAGATCTGTGATTAAAAAAGGGAGAGCACTGCTCTTGACCAATTGACCACAGGGATTCAGCAAATTGAAATACACACCAAAGTTGAAGAATAATTTTACAAAAGGTAAATGACAATGCCATTAAAAGGGGATCATGCAAATAGACTTTTGAAAACACAGAAGAATAAGAAAAAATGCAAATGAGAAAACCGATAAGAGGAAATAAAGGCATACGTACTTATTAGACACATGAAGACTTCTTTCTACAAGTCTGTGATTGTGCAAGTTCACTATGACAAAAGCAATTCCACATTGGTCCTGTACAAGAAGCACAGAGTTGTTGCATTATCAATGAATTATTATTATTATTACAGAAAAAAAACATTATTAATACTACTACTGCTAACAATATTAATAATAATCATAATAATAATGGCATACTTAAAGAGTAAGTATAGCATTTGTACGATTTTTAAATGTTATTGAAAGAAATCTCTTATACTCACAAAGGCTTTATTTATTCGATGGAAAATACAGCAAAAACAGTAACTTTGTGCAATATTATTACAATACAAAATATCTGTTTTCTATTTTTAAAATACTAAAAACATATTTTATTTATTTCTGTGATGGAAATCCTGAATTTTCAGCATCAGTGAAGTCTTTGGTGTCAAGATTTTAATATGCTCACTTAATGTTTAGGAAACATTTCTTATAATAAATGTTTAAAACAGTTGCTGCTATTTGTGTGGAAATCATGAAACATTTTTTTTTTTTTCTTCAAGATTATTTAATTATTAGAAAAAACTGCAGTTAATAGAAATGTAAAAAAAAAATAATCAAAAAATACATTTGATTGGCACTCAGCCACTGGACAAAATATATGTTTGTTCCACAATGTACTCAATTCTAGAATTGGACAATACCTGCCAGAATCCCAAAGTGACACCCTGTCCAACATACAGCATCTTGACGATCTTGTCTGCAACACACAACTCGCTGTGTTCTCCTTGAAGCTTTATTTTGGACATAACCGTTTTCCAGCCTGGCCTGAAAGACACAAGCAACTACATCACTCACTTAAGTTGGAAAACAAGGTGTATCTTTATATTTTCGGCATTTACCCCACCTGTACGGAGCAGGACAATGGAGGGGCACCTGCGACACTCCACAAAGCTCAAGCGAGGTGAGCTGGTTGAAAGAAGGCCAACTGACAGCGCCCCAGAACACAAAAACACCCGTACTGCTGAAGAAGGCATGAGACTGCTCAAAGGTGCTCCGCCGTCCTCTCCCATCAGTCACTGTGATCTCCCATGTAATGCACAGACTCCTGCCAGACACACATGACACAAACCCCATCTGACACCTCAGCTCTCAGAGCATTTAAGGGCAATGCCTTTTTTGAAGAAAAAGAAGTGGGGAATTTTATAAGATAAAAACTTCAAACATAAACACATAAAATACATTACTGACATAAGTAATGTTTAATCTGGGTATTGTTCCTGTAAAGAAACCTTGAACATCCCTTGAACTACAAAAAATGTATAATGTTGAAACATTACTCTAAAAGATAACATAATAATACAAATAATCGTTGAAAGAAATCAAAATCGACCCACATGATCTTATTCCTAAATGACTACTATTCCCTGTACTCTATCTATTAAACCTTTGACAAACTTATCCCAGAACATTCAGATTTCCCTTGGTGCCGCTGCTGACCCAGAAAGAGCAGTTGTCATGTGTAGGTATGAAACAGCTTCACAAACAATATTTTCAAACAGTTTGATTATTTCTGTCTTACAATAATTCAAATGAACCACAGAAGAACTGGGATTAAAGTTTATAGTTCCATATAAACACTGATGTCTACGGTAGCGATCAAAATCGACTAGATCACCATTTAAAGTAACTTAAGGCTTCAAATAAAGATTGTATCAATTACATCGACTTCGACTTTTACAAAGTGACAGTTTAGAAATGTCATTCTTTTAAAAAATGTGTTAAATAATCCTGATCCATCTATTAATGAAACACGTCTTTTTTCAGTGAGTCATTGAATCTTTTTTATTACTATTATTCCTTATATTATTCAGTCGAAACACTAAATAACCAAGCCGTTTGGATTTTCTGAGCCATATGATGTCATATTGCTCATGCTCCGACCTATTTCCGCCCTCAGCCTTTTGTATACTGTTTATATATACTATATATATTTTTCAATTTTAAGTCAATTTTACTCATTTTAGAGATGTTAAATTTAAATAGGAAATCTAAATACATTGAAATAAGGTGGAGAATCCAAGGCTGCTTACATAATAATAATAATAATAATAAATAAGCTGTATCTAGTTTTCCTGTAATCAAATCCTGAGGATCCTTAAAAATTAGGGCTGTCAAACGATTAATCGAATCCAAAATAAAAGTTTGTGTTTACATAATATATGTGGGTGCACTGTGTATAATTATATATATATATATATATATATATACACACACACACACACGCATGCTTGTACATATTTAAGAAATATTTTCATGTATTTACTGTACATATATTATATATAAATATAAATATTTTATATAATAATATTTATTTTCTTAAATATTCATGGTTGTGTATTTATATATGTACAAAATAATTCTACACAGTGCACCCACACATATTATGTAAACAAAAACTTAAAAAATATACATTTACTTGAGAATCAAAACTGTGATGATAGTGAAACATGAAAGATAAAGGTTAGTTTGGTTAATTGGGAAACAAACAAAAATACTGATTATTGGTTTGTTTTATTAGTGCCATTAACCTAATTAAGAGCAGGGAAATATTTGTTTGCCAATATACAAGCAATGAATGACATGAATTCAGAAAGAAACAGGGCATTAGATTGGGGAAATACTTCATATGATGCATCATGTGTGGGCACTGGCACCATACGATATCAATTAATGCTGTAAAACAAGATACAAGCTGAGTCCCAGAAAGATTAATAGCTGTTGTTTGTGTCTGAAAGTCAGTGGAGATGATTATTACCGAAGTAAATCTCATCCTCCAGTGTCTTTGTAACTGAGGAACCTATGGGGATTTGTCTGGGCAAGAGGTAGAGGCCAAGCAATTTATTTTTACAATTCACCCAGCCTTTCTGAGGGGACCACAATTATTTTCATTCCCCCTGTATACCGCACGCTCTTTGAGTCGAAAAATTGAGTGGCCCGGCAGCTCTAATCAGAGGTTAAGACAACAGCATGCCGTGGCCTGCAGATCATCAAGCGTGTTTCCGTATCCCATCGCCCAGGAGCACAGAGCAAATCTAAGACGCTGACTCTCACACTCACCTTTAATAAGCCCGGACACTGCAGGAGGGAAAAACACACCTTGACATACAGTAGATTTGATGGGGAAAATGCCATCTTCAACAGATCAGGTCACAACAAAGATATTATTTTGACTACAAAGTCTTGTTGCATATTATCTAATGTAGGGATATACCGAAAGGCAGTTGAAAGAAAAAAAAAATCAAAACAACTAGAAATGCAGAAACTGCAACTAAACTTAGTTAATGTGTACAAATTTATATGCAGAGACATTCAGATTACATGTCACCATGACAAACCAATGATATCCTTGTATTAAAGAAAGGATAGAATAACCAAAATAATGTAAAAGGGATTAATAGACACTGATTTTAAGATCAGTCTCTTATAACCCATTTATTTAATCAACACATTTGTGAACATATGAACTAACTAAATATAAAAGCCACAGTCTCTAACCTTAGGACTTCCTCTGTGTGACGCGGCAGTCCTGAATAAGGGTCGATGCGCTGAAGTTTTTTTCTCCACTTGTTTACATTCAGGCCAGCAATTTCTTTGAAGAATGTGTTTCTCCAGTATCCCTTTGGCCTCTCCTGCAAACCTACCAGGCCAAGATCACGCATCATATGACCTTCTTGGTTGGCTTTCTTCTTTTTGGCATGTTCACATATGTAAAACTGATACCACACAGAACTGCAGGGACATCAGAATGAGAAGAAAATGAGTTTAATCTTTCTGCTTTAAAAGATCCAGCATCCAAGTATGAGAGAATCCTAAGAATGATCTCTGGCGGCATCCTATTTTAAGACAGATTAAACTAAATAAATAAATAAATAAATAAATAGATAGATAGATAGATGATAGATAGATAGATAGATAGATAGATAGATAGATAGATAGATAGATAGATAGATAGATAGATAGATAGATAGATAGATAGATAGATAGATAGATAGATAGAAATCATAAAGTTACCTACGCAAAACTTGCCTTTCTAAGGAGTTTCCACAAGCCTTTACTCTGCGTTTGGGTGCCATTCTGTGGACTGATGGGTGTTGTACAGCCAATTTTGTTTGTCTGCTGGAATATGATACACAACGATCTAACTGTTAGTTCTGTAGTGCAGAGGCATTAATGGTGCGAAATAACCATAAAGCAACAAACAACCTGGACATGGGTTTTGATGAAATAATTGAGTGTTTCTCAGCATCTTGCTTCTTAGTCTTCACGGATTGCGAAGACATACTTCGTATCTCTTCTGAAACGTGTTCAAGCGCTTCTCTTTCAGTCTTTCTCTTCCGGCATATCTCGCTGTCAAGGTAACCAGCCGCGTACGCGCATGTGCCAAGGGGGATAAATTACACAGGACCTATTTTTTTACTGTCTATGCACAGGACATATTCTCATCTGGTGTATTTTAATGGGTACACACTGGATAGGAAATTAAATAGGTCAGCATAGAATTATACAATTTTGTACCGGTGAAAATCTACACACACACAAAAAAAGTTGCTATAACTTTTTTTTTTTTTTTCATTTGTGTGTGTGTGTGTGTGTGTTAGGGTGACCACCTGCTAATAAGCCCAAGGGGGGACAAGGGGTATGTTTCTGAGGGACAAGGTGGGACACTGCTTGGCGCGGCGGTGCCCCCACCCCACGGGCAGACTCTGATAGTGGTTTACCCATATCTAGAATTGTTACTATTGCCTTACTGTTTGTACATTTTTGAATAATTGTTCAAAAAAAGCACATACCTTAGCACATACGTTAATAATGCCCTATTCCCTAAACATGTTTTGCTGGTAGGCTATATGCTGATGCTCATGATAGGCCAACCAATGTGTATTTTTTTTTCTAAATAAAGATGAATATTTTGAACATTCAATGAATTGACAGATGCACTTCCACTTACGATTTACTTTAGCTATTTAATTTTATTTATTTTTCATTACAATTAATTCACTTTAAATAAATAAAAATATAAGGATTAACAGGAATTATAGTTGCTCAACACCACAGGAACAGTTTTTAAAAAAGTCGTAAAAAAGTCTAAACTCACAACTCCAGAGGTTCACGGAACGAGAAGCTGCGCTGTCATGACAACAATGAAAAAGTTGACATCAACCTAGTCGGCAGGTCACGTGGGAGTGGCAACCAGTGTTGGGGAAGTTCACTTTCTACATGAACTAGTTCAAAGTTCAGTTCACACATTTTAAAATGAACTAGTTAAGTTCAAAGTTTGCACAGAAATGTAAGATTTTTCCCATCTTCACCGACCTCGTTATAAAATCCGTTTAAATTATCATACGACCGCTTACGACGCCTTTGTCGACGGCGGCCGCGGTGCGACACTGATGGCTTGTGTTGCCAGATTGTGTGTTTTTTCGCTACATATTAAGCCCTGTTTACGGTGAGTTTTAGCCGAGTTTTCGCCTGGAAGGCTCTATGGAAATCTGGCACCCCATTAAACTGAGAGAGCGTGCGTTCACAGACACCAGAACGAACGAGTTCACACGTTCATCGGGACAGGCAGTAAACAATACGTTCAGTTCAACCAAAATATGAACGAGTTCATGGACGTGAACGTTCAGGCACAACGTTTGGCTGCCTCGGTCTCGAGGATATAGAGTGACCGATTTTTTTTTTCTTTTTGAGAAAGCATTGATTATTATGCGTGACATGGTCTCAATTTGCGGGACGCATGAATTGGGCTTCAAACGCTGTGCGCGCACGCGCTACGCGGGACGGGTGGTCACCCTAGTGTGTGTACTAACAGGTGACGTGACAATCTGGAGATTTACTGCCCCCAACAGGCCAGGAGCGGTAATGCGTTGATACGCTCTTGGTGCTTATCGTACGTAAACAATTTGAAAGTTTAAATTATTATTTTAATAAATGTTCATTATCTCATTCCTTGCAACATAAATATAGGCTTATTAGATTACAATATAGTTTTATTTGTTTTGTGTCTTTTATGGAATTTTTGCTTACTATTGCTAGTTCACTAGTTATTGCACACATTTGTAAAGCTGCTTTGGATGTTTACAGATGCCTTTATATCTTATCAGTGTGATATAAAATCATTATATTTCACACGTGGTCCTTTACATTAAAAAGTTGCAAACTTTTGGCCTAATTAAATGCAACAGAACCTAAAACCTAAATAGACATACGGACAGACAGACCTGATTGACCAACCCTATCTCAGCAATTCATACGTATTTTATAAGGGGTCTAATTTGTACAAATTCATAAGATTTTTCAAAAAGCGTCATCAGGAAGGACCACCTATAACCTCACCCCTAAACAGACACACTGGAGTCTAGACACATTTTACGAAAACCTAAAAGTGAGGTTTACGAATCCGTAAGCTACCTCGTAAAATACATACGAATTGCTGTGAAATTGCGTTGGACCGACAGACAGAGCCGACCAACATGAGACAGACAGAACCAACTGACAGACAGAACCGTCCGGCCAACAAAAATACAGTCAGAACCGACAGACAGACATAACCGACTGACAGACAGAACCTACCGAAAGACCAACAGACAGACAGAACCTATAAAAGAACAACAGACAGACAGACAGAACCTAACAGATAGACAGACAGAACCGACCAAATGACAGACAAATAGATAGACAGAACCGACCAACCAACAGACAAATAGATACAGAACCGACCAAACCACAGACAAATAGATACAGAACCGACCAACCAACAGACAAATAGATACAGAACCGACCAAACCACAGACAAATAGTTAGACAGAACCGACCAACCGACAAATAGATAGACAGAACCGACCAACCAATAGACAAATAGATAGACAGAACCGACCAAACCACAGACAAATAGATCGACTGAACCGACCAACCGACAGACAAATAGATAGACAGAACCGACCAACCAACAGACAAATAGATACAGAACCGACTAAACCACAGACAAATAGATACAGAACCGACCAACCAACAGACAAATAGATACAGAACCGACCAAACCACAGACAAATAGTTAGACAGAACCGACCAACCGACAAATAGATAGACAGAACCGACCAACCAATAGACAAATAGATAGACAGAACCGACCAAACCATAGACAAATAGATCGACTGAACCGACCAACCGACAGACAAATAGATAGACAGAACCGACCAACCGACAGACAAATTGATAGACAGAACCGACCAACCAACCGACAGACAAATAGATAGACAGAACCGACCAACCGACAGACAAATAGATAGACAGAACCGACCAACCGACAGACAAATTGATAGACAGAACCGACCAACCAACCGACAGACAAATAGATAGACAGAACCGACCAACAGACAGACAAATTGATAGACAGAACTGACCAACCGACAGACAAATAGATAGACAGAACCGACCAACCAACAGACAAATAGATACAGAACCGACCAAACCACAGACAAATAGTTAGACAGAACCGACCAACCGACAAATAGATAGACAGAACCGACCAACCAATAGACAAATAGATAGACAGAACCGACCAAACCATAGACAAATAGATCGACTGAACCGACCAACCGACAGACAAATAGATAGACAGAACCGACCAACCGACAGACAAATTGATAGACAGAACCGACCAACCAACCGACAGACAAATAGATAGACAGAACCGACCAACAGACAGACAAATTGATAGACAGAACTGACCAACCGACAGACAAATAGATAGACAGAACCGACCAGCAACAGACAAATAGATAGACAAACCAACCAAACGACAGACATACAGACAGACGGATAGATAGCTATCTATAGATTACTTTTTAGTTATAACTAGAAACAACTACTTTTTCTTATTAGTTTATGGTTGTAAAATATTTTGCTTGACATTTGAATAAAGCAGAAAATATCTAAAGGAATGTTTGTGCATGGTGGTCGAGGCGATCTCAAGAGTGATAGTGGTCTGCTGCCTGTCAGATTAAATAGTCATATAACATTCACAATAATTCACCATTTCATGTGGTTGGGGAGAGCTGCTCTCTCTGGGCATGAACAGCTCTGGGCCCCATGATACACAGGCCCAGTGCCCACCCAGCTTGACATTTGATGTTTTCTTTCTTTTACTCGCCCTTCTGCAGGCCCCAGGTCAGCCACGTCTCTCAGATACTCAACGTCAACCTCCACAGAGCCTGTCACTCCACCGCACCCACAGTGTGATGCTTGTCAAAAAAGGTGCATGGAGAGTCTGTGAGGAAGGGTGATGTTGACTATGACCGGCCCAGTGAACATGCATGATGACCTCTCAGTATAACAGTAAATTGACACTAAGCTGGTGTTTCAGGTGAAGTTTATTTGGAATGTATTTTAAAACCATTGTTCTGGCTATTTAAATGGAAGAACTGTTCATAAAATATGGCTGGGATGCCGTTGATTGTTTTGAACTGACAGGGTAAGTCTCCCATAGAAAACTATATTGTGAAGTGCCTATTATAGTTCAGATATGCTGAGTCATTCCATTATGAATTTAAGCAATATCCCCATTTCGCTCTTTAGAAGCTGTCAGCCATGATCGTCTTACATAATAGTTCCAATTAGCAACTTTGAAGAGTGAGGGAAAGTATTAATTAGGGAGGTTAAGAATGGGTTCAGTGGACATAACATATACTGAGACCTGTCACCTGTCAAACCCAATATTACACTTTATACACTCTACTACCTCCAGAGCTTCACTGAAAAGCTTTTTAAACCATAGAAACTAGAGAACTGAGAGCTTATTACAAGTTTGTTCATTTTGTTTGTGTGTGTGTGTGTGTTGTTGTTGTTTTTTTCATAATAAGGCTATATGACAATTAGGCCTACAGTACATGCATGCAACCACACGTTTTAACAGTTTTGTTTCCATCCATTTAACTTTTCAATATCGTTTCTGCTTGATTTTAGGAGTTTCAGTTTTCCAATTTTCTGAAATTCAAAGTTAATGAAGAAGTGCAAATGCACAGTTTATAGCTTGGTACCACTTTGATTTTACGGTAACTTTACAATAAGGTTTCATTTGTTAACATTAGATAATTTAATGTTTGTTAATTAATCTTAACAAATACAACTTTTTATTTTATTAATGTTTTAGTAAATGTTGAAATTAACAAATACTGTTAATACTGTAAATGCTGTTGAAGTGCAGTTAGTTCATGTTAACTATAATGTAGTTAATGTTAAATAATGAATTTTAAGTGACTTTTACATTTTACTTTTACATTTAAATTTGTTTAATTTTTTATACTAATGAAAAAAATATATATT